CCAGGTGCGGTGGCCTATTTTTGAGTCGACTCAAAAATAGGCTCATACCAGGCGGTGGCCTATTTTTTAGTCGACTCAAAAATAGGCTCATACCAGGTGCGGTGGCCTATTTTTGAGTCGACTCAAAAATAGGCTCATACCAGGCGGTGGCCTATTTTTGAGTCGACTCAAAAATAGGCTCATACCAGGTGCGGTGGCCTATTTTTGAGTCGACTCAAAAATAGGCTCATACCAGGTGCGGTGGCCTATTTTTGAGTCGACTCAAAAATAGGCTCATACCAGGCGGTGGCCTATTTTTGAGTCGACTCAAAAATAGGCTCATACCAGGCGGTGGCCTATTTTTGAGTCGACTCAAAAATAGGCTCATACCAGGTGCGGTGGCCTATTTTTGAGTCGACTCAAAAATAGGCTCATACCAGGTGCGGTGGCCTATTTTTGAGTCGACTCAAAAATAGGCTCATACCAGGTGCGGTGGCCTATTTTTGAGTCGACTCAAAAATAGGCTCATACCAGGTGCGGTGGCCTATTTTTGAGTCGACTCAAAAATAGGCTCATACCAGGTGCGGTGGCCTATTTTTGAGTCGACTCAAAAATAGGCTCATACCAGGTGCGGTGGCCTATTTTTGAGTCGACTCAAAAATAGGCTCATACCAGGCGGTGGCCTATTTTTGAGTCGACTCAAAAATAGGCTCATACCAGGCGGTGGCCTATTTTTGAGTCGACTCAAAAATAGGCTCATACCAGGTGCGGTGGCCTATTTTTGAGTCGACTCAAAAATAGGCTCATACCAGGTGCGGTGGCCTATTTTTTAGTCGACTCAAAAATAGGCTCATACCAGGTGCGGTGGCCTATTTTTGAGTCGACTCAAAAATAGGCTCATACCAGGCGGTGGCCTATTTTTGAGTCGACTCAAAAATAGGCTCATACCAGGCGGTGGCCTATTTTTGAGTCGACTCAAAAATAGGCTCATACCAGGTGCGGTGGCCTATTTTTGAGTCGACTCAAAAATAGGCTCATACCAGGCGGTGGCCTATTTTTGAGTCGACTCAAAAATAGGCTCATACCAGGCGGTGGCCTATTTTTGAGTCGACTCAAAAATAGGCTCATACCAGGCGGTGGCCTATTTTTGAGTCGACTCAAAAATAGGCTCATACCAGGTGCGGTGGCCTATTTTTGAGTCGACTCAAAAATAGGCTCATACCAGGCGGTGGCCTATTTTTTAGTCGACTCAAAAATAGGCTCATACCAGGTGCGGTGGCCTATTTTTGAGTCGACTCAAAAATAGGCTCATACCAGGCGGTGGCCTATTTTTGAGTCGACTCAAAAATAGGCTCATACCAGGTGCGGTGGCCTATTTTTGAGTCGACTCAAAAATAGGCTCATACCAGGCGGTGGCCTATTTTTGAGTCGACTCAAAAATAGGCTCATACCAGGCGGTGGCCTATTTTTGAGTCGACTCAAAAATAGGCTCATACCAGGTGCGGTGGCCTATTTTTGAGTCGACTCAAAAATAGGCTCATACCAGGTGCGGTGGCCTATTTTTTAGTCGACTCAAAAATAGGCTCATACCAGGTGCGGTGGCCTATTTTTGAGTCGACTCAAAAATAGGCTCATACCAGGCGGTGGCCTATTTTTGAGTCGACTCAAAAATAGGCTCATACCAGGCGGTGGCCTATTTTTGAGTCGACTCAAAAATAGGCTCATACCAGGTGCGGTGGCCTATTTTTGAGTCGACTCAAAAATAGGCTCATACCAGGCGGTGGCCTATTTTTGAGTCGACTCAAAAATAGGCTCATACCAGGCGGTGGCCTATTTTTGAGTCGACTCAAAAATAGGCTCATACCAGGCGGTGGCCTATTTTTGAGTCGACTCAAAAATAGGCTCATACCAGGTGCGGTGGCCTATTTTTGAGTCGACTCAAAAATAGGCTCATACCAGGCGGTGGCCTATTTTTGAGTCGACTCAAAAATAGGCTCATACCAGGTGCGGTGGCCTATTTTTGAGTCGACTCAAAAATAGGCTCATACCAGGCGGTGGCCTATTTTTGAGTCGACTCAAAAATAGGCTCATACCATGTGCGGTGGCCTATTTTTGAGTCGACTCAAAAATAGGCTCATACCAGGCGGTGGCCTATTTTTTAGTCGACTCAAAAATAGGCTCATACCAGGTGCGGTGGCCTATTTTTGAGTCGACTCAAAAATAGGCTCATACCAGGCGGTGGCCTATTTTTGAGTCGACTCAAAAATAGGCTCATACCAGGTGCGGTGGCCTATTTTTGAGTCGACTAAAAAATAGGCTCATACCAGGTGCGGTGGCCTATTTTTGAGTCGACTCAAAAATAGGCTCATACCAGGCGGTGGCCTATTTTTGAGTCGACTCAAAAATAGGCTCATACCAGGCGGTGGCCTATTTTTGAGTCGACTCAAAAATAGGCTCATACCAGGTGCGGTGGCCTATTTTTGAGTCGACTCAAAAATAGGCTCATACCAGGTGCGGTGGCCTATTTTTTAGTCGACTCAAAAATAGGCTCATACCAGGTGCGGTGGCCTATTTTTGAGTCGACTCAAAAATAGGCTCATACCAGGCGGTGGCCTATTTTTGAGTCGACTCAAAAATAGGCTCATACCAGGCGGTGGCCTATTTTTGAGTCGACTCAAAAATAGGCTCATACCAGGTGCGGTGGCCTATTTTTGAGTCGACTCAAAAATAGGCTCATACCAGGCGGTGGCCTATTTTTGAGTCGACTCAAAAATAGGCTCATACCAGGCGGTGGCCTATTTTTGAGTCGACTCAAAAATAGGCTCATACCAGGTGCGGTGGCCTATTTTTGAGTCGACTCAAAAATAGGCTCATACCAGGTGTGGTGGCCTATTTTTGAGTCGACTCAAAAATAGGCTCATACCAGGCGGTGGCCTATTTTTGAGTCGACTCAAAAATAGGCTCATACCAGGCGGTGGCCTATTTTTGAGTCGACTCAAAAATAGGCTCATACCAGGCGGTGGCCTATTTTTGAGTCGACTCAAAAATAGGCTCATACCAGGTGCGGTGGCCTATTTTTGAGTCGACTCAAAAATAGGCTCATACCAGGCGGTGGCCTATTTTTGAGTCGACTCAAAAATAGGCTCATACCAGGTGCGGTGGCCTATTTTTGAGTCGACTCAAAAATAGGCTCATACCAGGCGGTGGCCTATTTTTTAGTCGACTCAAAAATAGGCTCATACCAGGTGCGGTGGCCTATTTTTGAGTCGACTCAAAAATAGGCTCATACCAGGCGGTGGCCTATTTTTGAGTCGACTCAAAAATAGGCTCATACCAGGTGCGGTGGCCTATTTTTGAGTCGACTCAAAAATAGGCTCATACCAGGTGCGGTGGCCTATTTTTGAGTCGACTCAAAAATAGGCTCATACCAGGCGGTGGCCTATTTTTGAGTCGACTCAAAAATAGGCTCATACCAGGCGGTGGCCTATTTTTGAGTCGACTCAAAAATAGGCTCATACCAGGTGCGGTGGCCTATTTTTGAGTCGACTCAAAAATAGGCTCATACCAGGTGCGGTGGCCTATTTTTTAGTCGACTCAAAAATAGGCTCATACCAGGTGCGGTGGCCTATTTTTGAGTCGACTCAAAAATAGGCTCATACCAGGCGGTGGCCTATTTTTGAGTCGACTCAAAAATAGGCTCATACCAGGCGGTGGCCTATTTTTGAGTCGACTCAAAAATAGGCTCATACCAGGTGCGGTGGCCTATTTTTGAGTCGACTCAAAAATAGGCTCATACCGGGTGCGGTGGCCTATTTTTGAGTCGACTCAAAAATAGGCTCATACCAGGTGCGGTGGCCTATTTTTGAGTCGACTCAAAAATAGGCTCATACCAGGTGCGGTGGCCTATTTTTTAGTCGACTCAAAAATAGGCTCATACCAGGTGCGGTGGCCTATTTTTGAGTCGACTCAAAAATAGGCTCATACCAGGCGGTGGCCTATTTTTGAGTCGACTCAAAAATAGGCTCATACCAGGTGCGGTGGCCTATTTTTGAGTCGACTCAAAAATAGGCTCATACCAGGTGCGGTGGCCTATTTTTGAGTCGACTCAAAAATAGGCTCATACCAGATGCGGTGGCCTATTTTTTAGTCGACTCAAAAATAGGCTCATACCAGATGCGGTGGCCTATTTTTGAGTCGACTCAAAAATAGGCTCATACCAGGCGGTGGCCTATTTTTGAGTCGACTCAAAAATAGGCTCATACCAGGTGCGGTGGCCTATTTTTGAGTCGACTCAAAAATAGGCTCATACCGGGTGCGGTGGCCTATTTTTGAGTCGACTCAAAAATAGGCTCATACCAGGTGTGGTGGCCTATTTTTGAGTCGACTCAAAAATAGGCTCATACCAGGCGGTGGCCTATTTTTGAGTCGACTCAAAAATAGGCTCATACCAGGTGCGGTGGCCTATTTTTGAGTCGACTCAAAAATAGGCTCATACCAGGTGCGGTGGCCTATTTTTGAGTCGACTCAAAAATAGGCTCATACCAGGTGCGGTGGCCTATTTTTTAGTCGACTCAAAAATAGGCTCATACCAGGTGCGGTGGCCTATTTTTGAGTCGACTCAAAAATAGGCTCATACCAGGCGGTGGCCTATTTTTGAGTCGACTCAAAAATAGGCTCATACCAGGTGCGGTGGCCTATTTTTGAGTCGACTCAAAAATAGGCTCATACCGGGTGCGGTGGCCTATTTTTGAGTCGACTCAAAAATAGGCTCATACCAGGTGTGGTGGCCTATTTTTGAGTCGACTCAAAAATAGGCTCATACCAGGCGGTGGCCTATTTTTGAGTCGACTCAAAAATAGGCTCATACCAGGTGCGGTGGCCTATTTTTGAGTCGACTCAAAAATAGGCTCATACCAGGTGCGGTGGCCTATTTTTGAGTCGACTCAAAAACAGGCTCATACCAGGTGCGGTGGCCTATTTTTGAGTCGACTAAAAAATAGGCTCATACCAGGTGCGGTGGCCTATTTTTGAGTCGACTCAAAAATAGGCTCATACCAGGTGCGGTGGCGCAGCGAGTGCAGGCCGAGCTTGTTGGTGATCTCAGCAGCAGTCATCGCGTTGCGAAGGCCGGTTGGCGCATACACGGGACGGAAAGAGGCAAACACACACACACACACACACACACACACACACACACACACATACCAGGTGCGGTGGCGCAGCGAGTGCAGGCTGAGCTTGTCGGTGATCTCAGCAGCGTTCATCGCGTTGGGCAGGTCCTGCTTGTTGGCAAACACGAGGAGAGTGGCGTCACGCAGCTCGTCCTGTACATGGGAGGGGATGAAAGAGAAGAGTACACGGGAAGGGTTCATCGCGTTGGGCAGGTTCTGCTTGTTGGCAAAGACGAGGAGAGTAGCATCACGTAGCTCGTCCTGTAGAGCAATCAGAGGAGGGGCAGGGAGAGGTCATGGAGGAGGCATAGGAGAGAAGAGTGCTAATTTGCTCTGGGCAGGTCCTGCTTGTTGGCAAACACCACAAGGGTAGCATCTCGCAGCTCGTCCTGTCAGCGTGTTTTGAGAGGGAGCAGGGGAAGAGTGGGAGAATATGAGCGAGTGCAGGTTGAGCTTGTTGGTGATCTCAGCAGCGTTCATCGCGTTGGGCAGGTCCTGCTTGTTGGCAAAGACCAGGAGAGAAGCGTCACGCAGCTCGTCCTGCACATGGGGAGGGGATGAAAGAGAAGAGAACACGGAAAGAGGGGAATTATCGCGTTGGGAAGGTCCCGCTCGTTGACCAGCATCGACCAGCGTTGACCAGCGTTGACCATCACTGCTCTCACCTCATTGAGCATGCGGTGCAGCTCGTCTCTCGCCTCCATCACTCTCTCCCTATCGTTGCTGTCCACCACGTATATGATTCCCTGCGTGCCTTGAAAGTAGTGCTGCCACAGATACCGGATCTGAAAAGAAGAGGGAAGGGGAGGACCAGCGTTGACCAGCGTTGACCAGCGTTGACTCACCTCATTCAGCATGCGGTGCAGCTCGTCTCTCGCCTCCATCACTCTCTCCCTGTCGTTGCTGTCCACCACATAAATTAATCCCTGCGTGTTCTGGAAGTAGTGCCTCCACAGGGGGCGAATCTGGGGGGAAAAGGGACCGGGAGAATGAGAAACAGAAGGGGGGAACTGTGAAGCTGATGTACTACGCTCTGCTCTCTCCACGTTCAAGTCAACACATGTTAACAGAGTCAAAGTCAATGGAGGCAAGTCGGTACAAACCAACAGCGGCAAGCCGACACCAGTCAAAAGAGTCAGCTTTTGAGGCGCCTCAGTAAAAATTAGGTGCCTCAAAAGACACCAGTAATAAAAACCAGGCCAATTTGGTTACCTTATCCTGCCCCCCCTCGACCCAGACAGTGAAGCTGATGTTGTTATGCTCCATTGTCTCCACCCATGCAAGTCAACACAAGTGAATGGAGTCAAGTCAACACAAGTCAGCAAGAGTCAGCCTGTTGGTTACCTTATCCTGTCCCCCCACGTCCCACACAGTGAAGCTGATGTTCTTATACTCCACTGTCTCCACATTGAAGCCTGCGATACAGTCACAAATGCCACAAAACGAGAGAAAAAAAAGGACCGATAAGCTGTCTATCTAATGATCACGCTATGCTTCATCACATACATGATGCCAATGATTCATAAGAAGAGCAACCAGTTGCACCAGACGCACGCACCAATAGTGGGGATGGTTGTAACGAGTTCCCCGAGCTTGAGCTTGTAGAGAATGGTGGTCTTGCCCGCCGCGTCCAGCCCCACCATGAGAATGCGCATGTCCCTCTTGCCCACCCACCCACCTACCTACTGCTTGTCCTCCCTCCCTTCCTCCCTCCCTCCCTCCCCCCTTCACTCACTCCCTCCCTCCCTCCCTCACTCCGTCCCTCCTCCCGTCCCGCCCACACACACCCTAACCATACACTACTAACCGATAGTGGGGATGGTTGTAACGAGTTCCCCGAGCTTGAGCTTGTAGAGAATGGTGGTCTTGCCCGCCGCGTCCAGCCCCACCATGAGAATGCGCATGTCCCTCTTGCCCACCCACCGCGCAAACAGCTTCGTGAACGTCAACCCCATGACGGGCTGGGAGTGCGCTTAATTTGATTGAGATGCTTATATTTCTAAGATGGAAAGCTTGTAACGAGTCTTGTGGGAAACCAGAATCGCTGTTCTGCAGAGAGGGAGTGGTTCTTAGACTGGAGAACGAGTGAGGGAGTGAGATGATATGCAGAATAGAAGCTATGATATAAGGGTTCGGAGTAGTATCAGCAGGAGGAATCGGGAGTAGTAATGGTGGGATATGTAGCAGCAGCAGCAGTGGGTGGTAGTACTGCCGTTGAGATCACACCGTGGTGCCAACTGGCGGAGCTCGGGGTTGCGCCAGAGGCAACTGGCGGAGATCAGGGTTGCGGCGGAGCTCAAAGTTCCGCCTGTGGGAATCCCCGCGGAATCTTCATCCGCGCTGAATGCTTCCTCGGGGAAAGCTTTGCGCGCGGGGACGCGGAGAACATCCGCCATGATACCCGCTTCAGCGGACTTGTTCCGCTCGAGCCGTTTTGACGCGGAAGTGGTGAGGGGGTTGGCGGGCAAAATTGGGCGGGGAAACATCGGGTGAGGGAAGATGGAGAGAGGGAGGCGGAAAAATGGGGAGTTTGAGGCGGGGGTGAGGAAAGGGGGGAAGTGGAAATGCGAAAGCAGTGCGAGGCGGAGATGGGAAAGCGCAAGCACCTTTCAGCATTCCGCACGTGTCACGGAACGGGCTTCGCGGAACCTTCCGTGCGCTTCGCTGACTTTCCATTTTGCTGACTTCGCGAAACAGCTGCTACTGTAGGGACCTCGAAACAGCACTCCCGACCAATTAGAATCGAAGGCATTTCGGTCCAAACGAGTAAGAGAGAGCTCCGTATCTACCGGCGTGATAGACAGCGAATGGCCGCGAATGGATCGCGACTGCTCGTCATTGCTTAACGCTGATTGGCGGAGTGACGTATCATCCAAGGCTATCGCGGCCTTTCAGACTTGGAGTCTTTGTCAGTTGCCCACGTGGCCACGTGGCGACGTGACGACGTATGGTCGGCTCCGATTGGGGCCATACATTTGGCCGCACGTGACGGCGGATGCGCGCGATCCGCATTGCCGCCAGCCGGGCGCGCCACGCACCTGGACGAATGGGGTGCGTTATCGTCATGATTATATTTCCGCCAGCCATGTCCGCTTATGGCGACTATCTAGGGTTTCGGGGGTGGGGAATGGGGGGAAGAGAGGAGATGGAGCGCAATTGGCGCATTGCGCGGGGCAAAGAGGTCCTTCCTTGCCAAGCTGCCGGAGCTGTGGTGAATATTCAAGATTGGCGAATTTGCACGCAACTTCTCCGATTGGTTACATGTCGTCGCACGACAGGCGCTTTGATCCGTCTGGTTACCAAGTAGTCGTCGCGATGCACGGCTAGCCAACGGGTTTCGTAACGGAAAGTGGAACAGGTACACCACCTGATCAAAAGGCGTTGGCGAACAGTACATGCGACAACTAAGTTGATTCGCACGCCTTCGCAACCCACGTCATTCAACCAATTACAAAATTCGGATACGCATCAGCTCTACATCCCACGCGGTAACCTTATCGTTTGCATCAATCGACGATCTCTCTTATAAAACTTCCATCTGCCTTCTCATCGAGTCGCACCTCAATGCGCGCATCGAACCAATCCGAAATGCACATTTCGCATTTCCCATCCACAGCCATTCTGAAAATGTTCTGCCAAGTCCCACGCACCCTCCTCCCCTCTCCCCCTTTTTGCATACTTTCCGCACCACGTGACTCATCACGTGGTGGCACCGCGGACCTCCTTATCTGCGCCAACTCGGCGCAAACAAAGCTGCAACGCTGCAGCGCGCTTCGCATTCGGGTTCACCTTCCGACGATCCCCTCTGGGATTCGTTCCGCTCCTACCAGCAAGAGTAGCTTGTTTGCCGTGTTCAGATAGGTTTTGGAAAGATAAAGGCTCAGGTGGCCAACACACTCACAGCATCCAAATTTGCTTGATCCAACTTCGATGAACTCGTCCAGATTTTGAACTGATATTCGCTACAGCCTCTGCTCTTCAACTGAACCTTCTGGATATTGATTGTACCTGCCTCACTCTGCTTGTTTTTTATCCTCTGACACTGTTACAAGCTCAGTTCAGCAAAGTCCGTTTACCTTCACGTTGAACACTGCCTGCAACATGGGTAACCTACTCGCAAGAGCCTTCGCAGCGCTTATAAACAAGAGGGACATGCGCATTCTTATGGTTGGGTTGGACGCAGCAGGCAAGACGACCATTCTCTACAAGCTCAAGCTCGGCGAAAACGTCACCACCATTCCCACCATCGGTCAGTGATCCACGAGAATGCTTGAAAAGGTGGCTCTTCTGACGTTTCTAGATTGTAACTACTGTTAGTAACTGAAACCGTAATCATCATGCATCAACGTTTCTTTTCTCCCTTTTCACCCGCTGTGACTGTATTGCAGGCTTCAACGTGGAGACAGTGGAGTATAAGAACATCAGCTTCACTGTGTGGGACGTGGGGGGCCAGGACAGGGTGAGTTCCCTTGCACCCTCTCTCTCCCTCTCCCTGTGCACGATTCGTTCTTGTCCTGTCTTTGCATACCAGAATTTCCTGTGAAGGCAGAACCTTAATTCACACCTGGCTGCTCTTTCAACATAGTCACCCCGAGTCAGCACCTCCCAAACCCGCAGGTCTGCCTTCTCTGGAAGCATCATTTCCAGCACACCAACGGGCTCATCTTCCACTGCTAGTAAACCCAAGTCAACTCAAGTCAGCTCCTTTTTCTCCCCACCCACTTCCCCAGATTCGCCCTCTGTGGAAGCACTATTTTCAGCACACCAACGGGCTCATCTTTGTGGTGGATAGCAATGATAAGGACCGAGTGGCAGAGGCACGAGACGAGCTGCACGCTATGCTCAGTGAGGTGAGTCAATGGAAGTCAACGGGAGTCAATACGTGTCCATGCACACCAACGGGCTCATCTTTGTGGTGGACAGTAACCACCGAGACCGGGTGGCGGAAGCACGAGACGAGCTCCATGCAATGCTCAGCGAGGTGAGTGGCAACAAGAGTTGATGGGAATAAATGAGGAAGCCAATGAAAGTCAGCACAATTCAGCTACCATGTTTGTGGTGGGCAGCAACGACCGGGACCGAGTCGCGGAGGCACGAGACGAGCTCCATGCAATGCTCAGCGCCGAGCGTTGAACAAAAGTCAATGAAGGCCAGCGGTAAGTCAAAAGTTAAAAGAAAACAAAAAAAGGAAAAATAAGTTGCAGCTTCACCCACTTCACGATCTCCATTCTTCTCTCTTCCCACTTCCCTCTTCCCCCTCCCCTTTCCACGCCCCGAATCACACTCACAGGATGCCCTGAGGGATGCGGCGCTGCTGGTGTTGGCCAACAAGCAGGACCTTTCTCTCCTCTTCCACCCACCTTAATCCCCTTCTACCCTAAACCCAAAACACACTCACAGGACGCACTGAGGGATGCAGCACTGCTGGTGTTGGCCAACAAGCAGGACCTTTGCAAGGCGATGAGCGCAACACACAGGAGTTTCACACTACTCCCTTCCTTCTTGCCTCTCCCCTCCCCCACCTTGGCTCTCACCTAATCCATATGCCAGGACGCACTGAGGGATGCAGCACTACTGGTGTTTGCCAACAAGCAGGACCTTCCCAAGGCGATGAGCGCAGCTGAAATCACCGACAGCCTCTCACTTCACACACTCAGGAGCCGGAACTGGTGAGCTGAGCTCACAATTCCCCCTACCTCACGTTTTAAGACGTCTTTAAGCATGACTGCAGCTGAGATCACCGACGGTCTGTTTCTGCACTGCACACACTCAGGAGCAGGAACTGGTGAGCTGAACTCACACGCCCAGATATAGTCCCATTTTTTTGGCGACTTTTGAGGCGCCTCAAAAGTCGTCTCAGGAGCAGGAACTGATGAGCTGAACTCACACGCCCAGATATAGTCCCATTTTTTTGGCGACTTTTGAGGCGCCTCAAAAGTCGTCTCAGGAGCAGGAACTGATGAGCTGAACTCACACGCCCAGATATAGTCCCATTTTTTTGGCGACTTTTGAGGCGCCTCAAAAGTCGTCTCAGGAGCAGGAACTGATGAGCTGAACTCACACGCCCAGATATAGTCCCATTTTTTTTGGCGCCTCAAAGGCCCCCATATCACACCCGCCACAACCGTAATCCGTAGACCACCCATCCCCTCACCTGGGGTATCACTGCCTCGTAATACAACCTCTCTCCCTTCTCACTCCCTAACCCCCCTTCCTCTTCTCCCTGTCTCTTTCCCCCACCAGGTACATTCAGAGCACCTGTGCCACATCAGGGGAAGGGCTGTATGAGGGACTTGACTGGCTCGCCAAGAACATCACACTCAAGGTGATGTAGAAAACATGTATAGTACATAAATATATGTATATATATACATATAAAACTAACTCCTAGACCGGCGTACGAGGTGAGACGACACTACGCCGCTAGCCGGGATCACTACACTCCAAGTGTAACGGTGCTTTGAATAGGTGTGAAGTTTTACAATTCGTCCCTTGCTCTCTTACACCTCGCTTCCCCCTGTAGACCCCCATTCCTTTTCTCCATCTCTTGCACCTTCTTTTTGAGTCGACTCAAAAAAAGGCCCGTAGACCCCGATGCCTTTTTCTCCATCTCTTGCACCTTCTGTACCACTCTTAACCCCACCCTTGCAACTCACAGGATTAGCTTTGTGAAGCAACAGCTCCCATCCGACATGACCAAGTGATCGTGGCATATCTCATGAATTCTTAGAGGACAACACAAGAATTCCCATGCTCAGCATGCACAGCCACCCACATCATCTCTTCTGTGCATCCGGAAAAGACTGCTTACCTTAGAAGAGAAAGCCAACAGAAAAGAAACACTCTACATCCCCTCTGCTGGACTTCCCTTGCTTTGCTTGTGCCTGTGCTCGTGCTATCATACCTTCTAGTTTCCATTTGACCTCTCCAGTGCTCTCCCTTTATACTTTCCCTTTTTGGAAAAAACTAATTGCTTGCTCGTTATAAGGCGTTTCATTATATAGACAGAACACCAAACTCAGATGAACCGTTCACGAAACAAAGAAAACGGGACCTATATTTATAAGCAGACCGAAATAGCAACACCAAGGGTAGAGAGGGTGTGAAACCCGCTGGCCTAGCCCCACGAGGGCGCCCGGGCCAAATGAAAACATCACCACAAGGGTAAAAAGGGCGTCGAACCACTGACCTAGTAACAAGCCACAGCAGCCTTGAAAAAGGGCCTCCAAGAGGGGGCAGCAGCCCTCGTGCCTCCTCTCCCTGTTGCCACCAAACCTCTTTCTCCTGCTCCACTCCTCCCTCCTCCCCCATCCCCTCCTCCTTGAAACCTCCAACCAACAAGCAAGCCTCTAGAGCCTCAAAAGCAGCACAAGGCACGCCACAGAACGCCTGTCTCCTCTCCCTGCCGCCATCAAACCCCTTCCTCCTGCTTCAATCCTCCATCCTCCCCACCCCCTCCTCCTTTGTCGCTCCTACTGCCTCTAGAGCCTCAAAAGCAGCACAAGGCACGGCGCAGCACGCGTGTCTCCTTTCCCTGCTGCCACCAAATCCCTTCCTCCGGCTCCACTCCTCCTGCCCCACTCCTCCCTCCTCCTCCCCCATTCCTCCTTGGTCGCCTCAAACAAACAAGCAAGCCTAACGAGCCTCTAGAACAGCACAAGGCACGCAACACGCCTGTCTCCTTTCCCTGCTGCCACCAAATCCCTTCCTCCTGCTCCAATCCTCCATCCTCCCCAACCCCTCCTCCTCCCCCTCCCCCAGCTCCTACTTTCCTTCCTCCCCAAACCCTACATTCCCACGCCCACCTTCCCCACGCCCACCTTCCTCACGCCCCTATTTCCGCCACGCTTGGCGCATTCGTGGTTTTCCATTCTTTCTTCTTCCCGACTCCTCCTTTCCCCCCTCCCTTTCCTCCCCAGACCCTACATTCCGCACATCCCCCCCCGCCGCCCGCCTTTCCAGAGCCCCTATTTCTGCCATGCTTGGCGCAACCTTGGCATGTTTGCCACGCTCTCATTCCCCCTTCCCCTCCCCAGTTCCCTTTCCTCCTCCCCAAACCCTGCATTCCGCACATCTCGCCCTGCACCCACCTTGCCCATGCCCCTACTATCTCCGACTTTTGAGAATTCTCAAAAGTCACTCCAATATAGCTCGCCCTGCACCCACCTTGCCCATGCCCCTACTATCTCCGACTTTTGAGAATTCTCAAAAGTCACTCCAATATAGCTCGCCCTGCACCCACCTTGCCCATGCCCCTACTATCTCCGCCACGCTTGGCGCAATCATAGCCGCATCCCCCTTCCCTCCTTTCCCCCAACTCCCCCCTCCACATCCCCCGCTTTCCGTCCTTCCCCCTCCCCAGTTCCCCTTTCCGCAACAAACCCTACATACCGCACATCTCGCGCTGCGCCCGCCTTCCACACGTCCTTATCTCCGCCACGCTTGGCGCAACCTTTATTCGCGTCCCCTCCCCTTCCCATTTTCCAACCCCTTCCCGCCCTCCCTCCGTCCTTCCTCCTTACTTCCCTTCCCCCTCCCCTCCCCTCCGCAGTTCCCCGTTCTCCCCAAACCCTACATTCCGCACGTTTCCCCCTGCGCCCGCCTTCCCCACGCGCCTATCTCCGCCACGCTTGGCGCAACCTTGGGGGACTGAATCGGCGCCATAAGAACCCCCGCGCCCTCTTCCATTTCCCCCGCCCCTTCCGCACCCCATCCCCCCCACCTTCCGCTTCCGCCGCTTCCCCTTCCGCCTCCCCTTCCGCTTCCCCTCCCCCCTGCGCCGCCTGCTCCAGTCCTCCCCACACCCTCGACTGCACCCGCCAATCCGCCCTCTTCCGGGTAACCCTCCCCCAGGTTACCCTCCCCCATGTTACCCTCCCCCACGTAACACCATCCCGAATATCCCTGTCTCGGGAATATCTGACAATACGGGCCACAGAGCGGACCGCCCACGAGTTGCTCGATTAGGGTTAGGTCGGGGGGCGTGGGGCAGTGAATGGCGGAGAGAATCGCGGGAGTGGGTGCCGTGGTGGTACTACTACTAGTCGTGGGTGTGACTATGGTGGGTTCTGATAATAACGAGGATAAGGTCGCATTCATGATTGTCGTGTTTTTTATGTACTTGGGTTTGGATAGAGAAAATTGTGTGTCACTCTAAGTACTGGCAATAGCAGTAGCAGTTCAGCAGCGGTTCGGCAGCTAATATTATATAAAAGCAATTCTAGCTACAAAGTCTACTTCGTGCTAGCGCAAAACATCCAAACACCTCGCAGTTCTGAAAATGGCCCTACTAGCATGCGAGCAAGTTAGATGTGGTACTACTGCTGGATGTGGTAGCAGCTGACACTTTTTGAAACAGTGATAGCGGGGGTGTTTCGCAAAAGAGTTTCTGAGTTGTTGGAGTCGCGGAATTCCCAAGGAAGGTCGGCGAAGCCGCTAATTGCTCGATACTTGATGAATGGAAGAACGAACTCATGAACAAGAAACTTGAGTGGAAGAAATCAGTGAAGCGCACTGTTGCTGGTTCCTCGGACTCTTTCCAGGGATGGGAGCGGAAAATGCAGTCTAAAAAAGACAGCATTGAGAGCTAGGGTTGCGATGTCGCTTAGGGCGTGTAACCATTTTGTCCCGATGATTCGAACTGCGGGCCGTCGGGATCAACGAAGGGTTACAGGTGTCGTACAAAGTCGTTACGTAGCTCGTGAATTCTTGTACGACGTCGCCAACAATTCGGACCGTCGTGACACTTATTCGAAATGTGAACCGTGGACAGTCCAAAACCCAACCGGACGGTCCAACAGCCCTGGCCAGAGATTGGCGCGCGATATTTCAATGTACAGAACTTCTCATGAACTTCTTATTTGCGAGACTTCGCGAAAACCGTTAGGAGGATACAGGCCCTAACGAGACTACAGTAGTCGCGAAAATATTCAACACGAAAAAAGTGTCACTTTTCCATCCGGACGGGCCAAAGTTGCGAAACTTCAATACGGACGGTCCTGTTCTCAACATTAGGTCTGTCCATTTCAAAATATGCGGACAGTCCGCAAATGCAAAAAAGCAAAATGGTTACACGCCCTTAGTCGCTGTTAACTCTTGCGAAGACACAAGTATTTGATTCGTTACCAGTCCAGAGTGTCTCTTCCTGACTCAGCGCGGCAAGATCGAGATGGCTGATTGGCTTCCAGCCCTGGTGACACGGAGAATCCTACGAATTCCACATCAGCTTTAACGAAGCATGGGTTGGTTGACCGTCAGAGGGTCACACTGGAAAATGACAGACAGCCTTGAAATTGTAGTAGAATACCGATATTGCGCTAGCACGTTGCACAAAATAAAATTGAGCCAATTAGATATGTTAGTACTCAACTCTGCTGTCTAAATAACCTATGATGCTTTATCTAAGCCAAATTGCCCCTTTCCTTTTGACCTGTCCTACCTCTTCCTTTCAACTTCTCCCCTTCCACCTGCTTCTTACCACCTCTCCCATAAAATCTCAGGTACCATTCTACAAATTTTTGTAACCCATCCGTGAGTCTCAATGTAGGGTGATACCCTAGCTCATGCTCTGCCCGTGACACATTTGCATGAGTGAAAGGCACATCCCCGTTATGAGGCAGCTGCACTGTCCGCTTCAGCGCTTTCTCCCTCAGATGTAACTGTAGATAGTCAACCAGCTGAGGCACAGAAACCGGCTGGGTATTCCCGAGGTTCAGCACCCGTAGCTGCGCCGGACCTGTCTTCTTGCCTTGGACGCCAGTGCTGGGTGTAGCTGTTTTAAGAGCGCTGACACAGCCCTTGATGACGTCATCTATGTAAGTGAAGTCCCTAGAAACAAGGGTCTGCACATGGAGAGAAGGTGAGAATGAAAAATAAGAGAAAGAGACAAGTTGAGAAATAAGAGGCAATACGAGAACGAAAATGCAAGATGAGAGAGAAGAGGCAAGACAAGGGGGGGAGAGAAGGGGAGCGTATGGGTGGCAGGGGGCTATGGGTGGAACAGACAACGAGGTGGTAGGAAGAGTGGGGGATGGGGAGACGGGGTTGAGAGGTGGGGGGAGCAGCGGGGCGGGGGGAGGGGAGCGATGTGGACATTGAAGGATGAGGGGAGATGGAAGCTCTAGAGCCACCTCAGAAGCATACAAGAAGGGGGGGTGAGGGTGGCGGGGAGTGGGGGGTGGAAGAGGGTGGGGGGGAAAGGAAGGGGAAGGGGATGGGTGGGGGAGAAAGGGGGGAATGTGGAAACCCTGGGTGGGAAAGAGGAGACGAGATGGGTGGGGAAAGAAGAGACAAGCCTTCGAAAGAGACAATGCACAGAAGTATGTCTAAGGGACAAAGCATTTGAAGGATGACTCACCCCATTGGTTCCCATGTACACTTCAATCGCCTTCTTTTCCAATATATTCTTTGTAAAAAAGAAATACGCCATATCGGGTCGTCCCCACGGCCCGTATACAGTGAAGAATCTTAATGCGGTTAATGACAATCCGTGGATGTGATTATACGAGTGTGCGATCGCTTCGCCAGCCAGCTTCGTCGCAGCGTACAGGCTCGCCGGTCGCTCGGTCCTGTGCGACTCCGAAAACGGAACCTCGCGATTCACCCCGTACACGCTGCTGGACGAAGCCCAGACGATCGCAGGCTGTCGCTCAGGAACCCTGCGACACCTCTCGAGCAGATTCACGAACCCTGCGACGTTGCTGTCCACGTATGATTTCGGATTCTCCAACGCGTACCGAACCCCCGCTTGTGCCGCCATATGTGCCACGTGGGTGAATGTGACAGTAGCGAACAGCGCGTCGAGAAGCGTGCCGTTGTTTAAGTCACCGCGAATAATCTCAATGCCCGCAGACCAGAGCCGCGCCGCGCGCGCCTCCTTCAGCGTAGTATCATAGTAGTCGTTAAAATTGTCCAGACCCACCACCCCGTGACCCTCCTTTTTAAGAGCCAGCGCGAGGTGCGACCCGATGAATCCTGCAGCCCCCGTTACAAGAACAACCATGGACTCGTTCTGCTTCTGCCCGCCATTCACGGCTGTGAGTGGCACCGTGCTCGGCCTCTGCTGACCGGAACGACTGCTGTTGACTTTTGCTGACTCAACCAGGAGCCGGATCCACTCAGGCTCGTTGTTCCCGCCGCGATTTCCGCTACCAGCGCCGGCGTCGCGTCCGCGATTGCTCGGTCCGATGAGGTCCGCGTAGCGCGATAACAGGGACGCCTTTGGCGAGTACAGCGGCACCGCGTCGTCTTCTGCACGTTGATTTCCTCTGGCTTCGCTGGAATGGGTGACGGCGGATTCAACGACGGCTTTCCCGGCGGTTGTGACGGCAGGGGGAGTGACAGTGGACAGTCCAGCGGTAGGGTCGAAGGAGTTAGACGAGTATGCCGCTACGGAAATATCCGTGAACTGTAATGAATTCCTCGTTAACGCGTACGAAGTGTAGGACCCCGCGAGGCTGGAGACAATTGCGGTAAGCGCGCAGGCAAGGACAAGGAGAGACCACGACGGGCCCCGATCGTGCTTATATTTACTGTGACTATTGTGAAGGGAGGGGGCATCTAGCATGATAAACGAAGAGACGGAATGGCTTTTGCTGAGCGACGAGGCTCCTCCTGACTGCTTCACTCTTGAGGGATGGAGGACGACACGGGAAGGATTTTGCGGGTGTTGTTGAAACTTCTCGGAAGCATCGTGTGAGGAGAGAGAATGGCTCTTGCTCAGCGACGCGGCTCCTCCGGACGGCTTCATTCTCTCTTGCGATCGAGAACGACTCAACGCTATGATATGGTTTCCGATGCGTCTCAAAAATCTGTCTGGGTGAAGGACAGAACGTGTGCTGGGAAGGAGGGCAGTGGTTTATCAATGTCGAGAATCCCGACCCAGCGACAACTATTTCTGTGACAAAACGTCAACTGCTCGTAGTTCGAGTTCGCTCGATAGTTTTTTCTCAGTCGACTGAGTATCAGTCTGTAAGGTACCTCAAGGCGTGATGTCTTAATCTTCAGTATTCCTGCACAGACGGACTATCAGAACGTGAAGTGCCGTTGTGATTATGAGACGACTCAAAACTCGATGATTACTGACTACTGCTTGCTAGCAACAGGTGCTGGTGCTGGATGAGCTTCCTCGCAATTGACGCGGTCCGAAGCGTGTGGAGATTGTTGCGATTCGAGAGTCGCGGCGGAGGCAAAATACTTGGTGTTGTGTCGGATGATCGGATATTTGTCTGGTCTCTAGTTGCAGCAGGTGTGACCTTTCTCCATGCTTTTATGCGGTAGGGAGAAAACAGAGATAGAGTAGGCGGTGAAGATGAACGGAATAAGCTCGCGGGAATTCTCGGTCCGCCTAGTCGCTCCTGTTAGCGGTCCGCGCAACCTTTGCAAATTGCACATTCTGTGATTTGGCTTGCGCGTGGCTAGTATGAGAGGGTGAAAAGAAATTTCGGTATGGTTGAAAAGGTCTTCAGAGGTTCTATGGGATAATTGGGACAAGAGAGGGGGAGCTGGAGGAAGGGGAGTTGCTAAAGGAAAGCGAGCCTTGCCTTCATACCAACCAACCACTCCGCTGATTGTTTTCCGCGTTTTCGATGTGCGACGCGGAAGACCAAGGATGGACAGCTAAACCGAGTCGCAATGTGAGTTCGAGAAGTCCTCCCACACAATCTTCATTTGTCTGTCGCCCCAGTTCCCCTCACACAGTGACACTTTCTGACTGCCCAGGCAGGACTCTGGCGCTGCGCGACGAAGCGGGCGGGACTGTCGGTCAGAGTGAGCCGTTCTGCGACTGTGAGAAAGCTGAGGATGGTTCGCAGAGCCTTCGAGGCCGTCGCCCCTTGCGGAAGACTGCGCAACCCGCGATTTGCCCCAGCCAGCTGCTTGCCTGAGCCGACGCGATGGTGTGGTCGTCAGACGAAACCTTGATGGTCGTTGTCGCTGTTACGCATTTGAATATTGTATTTGCTAACCTGTATGTAGAACACTGATTAAAACCGGATTCTCAAGTTCCCCTCAATTGCCTCATCCTTCCTACCTGTGGTCGGATCACCAGGTCCAACCAAGCTTCCTGGCCACTAGGCCCAACCAACCTTCCTAATTTTGAAACCTGTGGACCTCGGGTTCAAAAGCTTGCTTTCTGGTGAAAAGGCAACATACGATAATAGCTACTGCTCCCTTCCGCATATTATTCGGGCTTTTACTCCTCGTAATTGCTTCTGCAAAAGATTCACATTTCATCATACATGCTCTGTGAGGGCAAACAGACTAAGAGTGACAGTCCTTAATGATTGGAAGTCGCCTTAGAATGGGATGTCATCGTCATCACCATTTTTATCCTCCTCAAAAATGTCGTAAGGGTTGCCTGTTCTTTGGACACCTCCATGAAATCCAGTAGCTCTGAAGTTCTTCAGTGTCAGTGGAAGCGACTCACTTGCCGGCACCACGATCTCAATCTCAAACGTTCCTTCTCCCTGCATAGCACAAGAACGACATTAGGCTTATAGTGAGACACTGAAAACGAACAGAAACAGCTTCACACGAGGGTGTAGTGCGGCGGGCACAGGAGTCACCGTCTTGCTCACTCAAACACAATCGGGTTTCTTCTGTACAACTCACCACGGGTATCTCTTTGATGCTTGCCAGTCTCCCCCTGTTTGGAATTGCAGGTTCGTCATACGCATCCAGGACAAACCCGAATACATCCGCGTTATAGACAGGCCGTCCTGATTTGTTCACTGTAGTGCCCATAATCAAGAAGCACTTGGCCTTGTATAGGGAAGATCCGGGCCCAACCGTGTAGGGGTTGGCACAAGGGCGGTAGGTTAGGTCTTTAAGAGCCACTGTAACCACCTTGAGTAGGCACAAGAGGGTAAGGGAGGGGTGGAGTGAGGGAGGAGAAGAAGGAGGTGGAGGTGAATTTGGAGGTGTAGCAACACTGTAATGCTTAACATGTATCGCTGAGTAAAGACGAACACTCACATTACATAATGCGCAGAAGGTATAGAAAGAATTGTGAAGAGAAGAGATTGGACGGAATTGCGAGGAGAAGAGAACGGAATAGGATGGGGACATAAAGACCACAACGCAAGACGGTCTCTACTAGGGCTCTCGAGTTACAATAGCAGAAGAGGCTCCTCGGAAGCAGCTTAGGCATCACACGGTCATAATGGGACGTCATTACAATGCGGCGAAGGGGTGACACGGTTGAGATTCGATATGGTTAGTATGCGGCGTCGGAATGACATGGCTCGAATTTCAACTTACTGCGAGAGCTTCAGGCGGTTGAACCAAGGGCATCCCCGCTGTGACAACTGTGTGACATTAGACGGAGGTGATTTTTTAGTCGACTCAGAAATCAACTACGATATTTAACGTACTGCGAGAGCTTCAGGTGGCTGAGCCCAGGGCATCCCTGCTGTGACAATCGTGGCAGCGGCTGTTGTCGCAGCTCCGAGAAGGACCGTTCGCCGGGACTGGTTAACAGGTAACAGTTCCAGCGCGACATTTCCATTCGTGGAAACTGTCTGCTGCGACGCGCTAATGTCCATCCGCGGTTCCGCCTGGGATCGAACGGCGCGCCGCGATTGAGAAATTGGCGCGTGAAATTTCACGGAATGTGATGATGCCACTAGGTGATTACTGCCAAACATCCCCCCGAGCCATGTTAAGCTCGAAAGGGGCCGCGCGGTGGACGTCAAGCTACTAGCGGCAGCCATTTCAGCGTGAAGGGCACGAGATGCGTTGCTCCTTGATTTAGTAAATTCGAGCAGGGAAGGGGGGATTAGGTGGAGTGGCAGGTCAGGTGAGAGATAGGGTTGACTGGTTCTGTGAGAGTTTGGTTGTTACGAGATGATGGAGGGCTGTTCACCATGAAAGGTAAATTGAACCAGTCTGAGCCGTACATAATCTTCCAATACCGCACTGTATGAAACTCCTCAACAATATGAACCAAGCCCTTGGTTCATTCCGAGGTTGGATCTCTTTTCCACATTTGCACCTCAGGAATCCACGTCAGAACAAATGGCGACTTCTGGTTCCTAAGATAAAGTGGCCGTAAAAGAGCGACCTGTTGACTAAACGGAGACGCTAACGACGCGTCTCATTTCGTTCCGCGAACCTCGCTTCCCAGCCGGGTACAGCCTGTTTCCAATGTGAATCTGCCACACCAAGTCTTTTCAACCAAGTGAGATTTGCAAGTCACGAGAATGTCCCCCTCACTCTCCAGCAAACACCAAATGGGCCTGTATCAGAACCATCTGGTTGTGATTGGGTGCAAATTTGGGCAAACGAATGTGTTTGTTTTTTCAGTGCATAATAGGGCGTGTTTTTGGGAGTTCTCCTGGAAATGCTGTCCAGACCAGCACAGCATGATCAGCACGAAAATGGGCGGAAATATTTCGTGCGCGCCGCACCGCGCCAAGATATTTCCCCGAGACGCCACATTGCGCACTTCCCGGCATCGTGGCAAGCGAAATTATCCCACACATACTCCTCTCCTTCCCACCAGGGGCGGCCTTTCAGCAAGGTTGAACACGATGCAGTTTGGTACAGTAAGGCATAATTGGAAAATCGACGCTGCCTTACTGAACCGATCGGAACCGTGTTCAAAACTGCTACAGTTCGCCACGGTTACGAATGTCGATTCTCAAATTCCACTCCCCCGCCTACCCTCCCCTCTCTCCAAACTCACACCTTCCAGGTTCCCCCAGCGATGGCAGGAAGAGCACACCCTCCCATCCCGTCCCATCACCCTACAAATTCAACACCATCCCATCCCATCCCATCCCATCCCATCCCATCCCATCCCATCTCATCTCATCCCATCTCATCTCGTCCCATCCCATCTCATCCCATCTTTTCCCCATCCCGCACCGCAGAACGCCCACAACAAACCATGTTCCGACAATTACCCTGTCCAAACCACATCGCGTCATTCCCTGGCACCACAAAATTCTCCCATGATCAGGATCTCCCCTGACAACGATCCGCCTTCCACGGAATCCACCGAGTCGCACACAGCAAGTGGCTCCTGCCTGCCTGTCCTTGACCTGTCCTCACCTAGGCGGCCATACCCCACGCGCGCAGGTCTGCCGTGCATAGTACACTTATTTCTAGTCGATTCGAGCGAGACTCGGGATGAGTTATCGTGTCATCCTCTAGGTCATGATTGGCCATGCCGACCTGTCGTGCTCATATAGCTTATTCCTCTCGGCGATCAAGCTAAAATAGTTTTTCCTGTGACTAGTATACTACGGGTTATTTGCAGTGCGACTGGGTGGATTTTTTAGTCCGCGCGCTATTGATACCGCTCAAACCTCCTCTTTGTGTGGCCTAGAGTCCACAGTCGATGCAGACCAGGACCCGCGTAATATATTTTTAAACGAGCTTCTGTGCTGAGAAGCGCTAAATTTTATCATTTCAATAAATTCACCAAAAAAAATATCAACCACAAGTGCTCAGCGCCAACTTGTGCGAGCTTGAACTTCGTCGCTAGTACGTCATTCCTGTAAGCGAGATCTTAAGTGGCAATTTAGCCCTCTCGCGAGCTCGGATACTAGGGCGGAACTCGACGTTTCTAGTTCCACTTTAACCATAGTCGTGACATTTTACCTGTTCACCACATTTCTTAGTGACTAATCCTCCAATCAAGCTCGGATAACACAAGAGCTCAGCTTTAGTGTTGAATCCTTTTTCCAACCTCGGGCCACGCGTTGACCCTCGCCTTAGCTGATGTTATGAACCTTTGGCTTTAGAGTCGTCTCGAACGACACATCGAACAGAATGCGGCTGACAAGTCGAGTCAGCGCGTTCCTCATGATCATGATGCGAGGGAGCATGATGCCCACATTCATCTCTCTTTTTCTCGTCGCCAGCTGCTCCACTCGCGCAGCTGTCGGTCAGAACGTCTCTGTCGCCACAATAGAGTTTCGGTCACCCGTTGATGCTGATTTGCTGACGTTCCAAGGCCGCCCCACCAGTCGCGCTCTGGCGGGCGGTGACGCATCGGCGGAAGGCGTTGGCGGAGCAACACCGTGGCAGGTGCAGGCAGCGGGGCGCGCGGAAGCAGCGGGACGCGCGGGACCAGCATCCGCGGAGGTGGTGGGGAGTGCGGAGACTGAGGAAGGGGGGCCGGTGGCGTTTGGGGGGCGTCGCATATCGTCGCTGACTGGCATCGCAACAGCGGGGAGTCAGATGAAGGGGCGGAGTCCCGCGGATGGGCTGACTCCGCGGGGCGTTCGCGGAACGACAGGGGAAGAGAAAGGCGCGCAAACGCAGAGGCGGGGTCGGGGCGTGGGGAAGCACAAACCGCACGCGGGGTCGAACAAACCGGGCAGCAAAACGGGCAAGAAAACGGGCAGAAAAACGGGCAGGAAGAGAGCTGCGGAGGATCCGCTTTTCCCGTGGGTGGGGAAACCGAGACTGGTGACGCTCGACGCGACGAAACGAGGGCGATGCTTGGACGGCAGGTGATTCACTCACGGTGACTTCTGGCCGTTGGGTGGTTGCTTAGGTTAGGCGGGGGGGAGTTAACGTTGCGCGCACGTTGTGCGCGATGCTTGGACGGCAGGTGATTCACTGACTGACTGAGGATGGGTCGTGGTTCCGTGACTGTTAGGCCGTACTTTGGTTGCTTAAACTGCTAAAACGGGCTTTGGTAGTTCAAAATGGGGCGAAACGTGATAAAAGTTGTATTTTGAGACGTCTCAAAATACAACTTTTATTTTGAGACGTCTCAAAATAAAAGCTAAAACGGGCTTTCGTAGTTCAAAACGGGGCGGAACGAGGTCGATTCGTGGACGGCAGGTGATTCACTGACTGGATCGGTTCTGCCGAACTGACTGGATCGGTTCTGCCGAACTGACTGGATCGGTTCTGCCGCACTGACTGGATCGGTTCTGCCTTGGTAGTGGCTTTGGATGGCACATGTTGCCGCATTATGGTATAGGGTGAATTACTCCCTTCTCTCCAGGGTTTATGGTGGTAGCTTTGGCTCTGTTCCCTCCTGGCCTTCCGCCCCCTCCCATTGGTCGTCGTTCCCATTCCTCTGCCCTTCTCCTTCTGTCTTTTCTTGTGCCCTCCGCTTCTCTCCGCACATCCGCGTTATTGCAGCTCCCCCGCTTTTGTCATCCGAAACGGCTACGGTACAGGAGCGAACAAGTGGATCTTCTATCTCGAGGTAAGAACTCTGTGCACAGTGAATCTCATTTTGAACTCTAGCGAATGATCTTTTGAATAAGTTCATGAAGCTTCATACCCGTTTGTGTGCCACCCGTTTGTGCCACACTCATTTGTGTTGCACTCGTTTGTGTCGCACTCGTCTGTGTCCCACTCGTTGGTGTCCCACACGTTTGTGTCAAACCCGTTTGTGTCCCACTCGTTTGTGGCGCAGGGCGGAGGCTGGTGCTTCAGTATTAAGCAGTGCGCCGTTCGGTCCAAGACTATGCTCGGGTCCTCCCGTTACTACAACCAATCGGTACAATCACTCTCCTTCAGCCCTCTCTGATACCATCTCTCCCGTCAGGCATTCGCTCCCTCTCCCCCATTACCTCCTACTCTCCCGTCACCCATTCGCTCCCTCCTTCCCTCCCCATTCCCTCCTCTCCCGTCACCCATTCGCTCCCTCCTTCCCTCCCCATTCCCTCCTCTCCCGTCACCCATTCGCTCCCTCCTTCCCTCCCCATTCCCTCCTCTCCCGTCAGCCATTCGTTCCCTCTCCCCCATTCCCTCCTTCTGTCCCGTCAGCCATTCTCTCCCTCTCCCTCCTCATTCCCTCCCTCTCCCTCTCCCCATTCCCTCCTGGTCCCCCTCCCCATCCCCTCCCTCTCCCCTTCCCCATCCCCTCCCTCTCTCCCTCCCCATTTCCTCCCTCTCTTCCTCCGTCCCTCTCCATTCCCTCCCGCTCTCCCTCCCCATCCCCTCCCTCTCCCCTCCCCATCCCCTCCCTCTCTCCCTCCCCATTTCCTCCCTCTCTTCCTCCGTCCCTCCCCATTCCCTCCCGCTCTCCCTCCCCATCCCCTCCCTCTCCCTTTCCCCATCCCCTCCCTCTCTCCCTCCCCATCCCCTCCCGCTCTCCATTTCCATCTTTTTCCTCTCCCTCATTTTTCCCTGTCCCAACCCTCCAACATTATTCCCCACATGACTTCCCGTCCCATCACTCCCCCTTCTTTTCCCTCTCATGCCCAAATTTCCACTCATAGATCTTGCTCTCAGCATTCCTGCATCACTCTTTAGAATTTTCAAAAGTGACGTAGATATATCTTGCTCTCATTTTTCCCACATCACCATTTAGAACTCTCTATAGTGACTTTGATATATCATGCTCTCGGCTTTCCCAGATCATTTTCGTTCCTCTTGCTTTCTTTCAGCCTTTTCTTGAGCAGAGGATGTAAAGTACTCTTGTATCGCGCCACCTTGCAGCATTTACATTGTACCACAAAGTTGTATATACATCCAATAATTTTCAAACCTCCCTCTCTGCCCCAACCAATCTGCTTCCGCCCCTTTTCGCGCCTCGATGTTCAATCCCTCAGAAAGACATTGACTTGGGCGGAATCGCGAGTAGTGACATTAAGGTAACAACATTGCCTGTTTGGTTAGTACAGCACGCTTACAGTACATAAACAGAAAATCAACACAGAAATACGTGATATGGGTGGTATCACAACTAATGAACTTCACCAACTCAACACTACGTAGGTACAGAATCAGTAGAAATACAGATATGTGATGGTAACATAAAATGTTGAAGAAATCAACTGGCAAATTCACAATATGAATTGCCATTGTTCGAATTGCAAGAGCTGGAACTTTTGCTTAGTGCATCCATTTGGCCTTATCATGCATCCATTTCTTTGTTTTCATTACCTGCAGATCAACCCAGGTTTCCATAACTGGAATTTTGTCATTTTCAAATACTGCGACGGTGCTGCTTTTGCTGGTAGCCGTGGTGTCGTGCAGCCGCGTAGCGTCAACAGCAACAAGCCGCCGGTGTACATGGAAGGCCGGTGGAACCTTATAGGGATAGTGGAGGAGCTTTTAGCGAAGCAGAATCTGAGGCAGGCTACAGACGTGCTGTTGGCCGGCTGTAGCGCGGGGGGACAAGGGGTCAGCATGGTGTGTGATGGTGTTGCCAAGTGGATGGCTCAGTTCGGAGCCAAGACTCGATGCCTCATGGACGCTGGATTCTTCATGGGTGAGTTGTTGACACGTGTTGCATTCTTAGGGAGGTAGGTAGGTAGCATGCATAGGCAGGTAACAGCTGCATGGTCTGTGGTGGATGGCTCGGTTGGAGCCAAGACTCGATGCCTCATGGATGCTGGATTCTTCATGGGTGAGTTGTTGATATGTGTTGCACGAGGTTACACTAACTAGGTTACATCAATAGGAGGTAACAGTTGGATGGCATGTGATGATGCCTCGTGGACGCTGGATCCCTCATAGGTGGTGACTTCAAGTATCATGGGCATGGGTGGACGATTCACGTGATAAAAGTTGAGTTTTGAGACGTCTCAAAGTTCATGTATCATGGGCATGGGTTGACGATTCACGTGATAAAAGTTGAGTTTTGAGACGTCTCAAAGTTCAAGTATCATGGGCATGGGTTGACGATTCACGTGATAAAAGTTGAGTTTTGAGACGTCTCAAAGTTCATGTATCATGGGCATGGGTTGACGATTCACGTGATAAAAGTTGAGTTTTGAGACGTCTCAAAGTTCAAGTATCATGGGCATGGGTTGACGATTCACGTGATAAAAGTTGAGTTTTGAGACGTCTCAAAGTTCAAGTATCATGGGCATGGGTTGACGATTCACGTGATAAAAGTTGAGTTTTGAGACGTCTCAAAGTTCATGTATCATGGGCATGGGTTGACGATTCACGTGATAAAAGTTGAGTTTTGAGACGTCTCAAAGTTCAAGTATCATGGGCATGGGTTGACGATTCACGTGATAAAAGTTGAGTTTTGAGACGTCTCAAAGTTCAAGTATCATGGGCATGCGTTGACGATTCAAGAACGTGAATGCGTGTTCAAATCAACTCACAACTCATCCACCCCCTTGTCTCCTCCCTACTCCCCCAAACATCTCCACCCTACGAGGCATGTAAGCCTTTCAATATCCCCCACGCGAGTATGCCTTTTGTCGTCTTCCAAGTTGTACCGAAATTTCACAAATGCGCCCCCTTCTCCCCCTCGATCCCCCATTCCCTCCCTCCCCCATTCCCTCCCTCCTCCCCTCAAGTCATCCCCACCCTACAAGGCACGTAAGCCTTCCGCCGTCCCTCGACACTTTCCCACTTATGTGCTCTTCCGCCTCCCCATTCCTCCCTCCCCTCCAGACATTCCCACCCTACGAGGCACGTATGCCTTCCGTGGTCTTCCAAGCCGTACCAGCATGCCACAAGTGGCTCCCTTCCCTTTTCTCACCCCCTTTGAGACGTCTCAAAAGTTGTACCAGCATGCCACAACGGCTTCCAAGCCGTACCAGCATGCCACGACTGGCCCCCTTCCCTTTTCTCACCCCCTTGGAGACGTCTCAAAAAACATTCGCCGTCTTCCAAGTCGGACCAACATGTCACAAATGTGTCATTTCTCCCCCTTCCCCCTTCTCCCCTTTTCTCCCCCATTCCCTCCTTACTCCCCTCCAGACATCCCCACTGTACGAGGCGCGTACGCCTTTCGCCGTCGGATGAGCCAGCTGGCGTCAACAGCAAATCTTGCGCAATCCAGCTATGACGTGGGCTGCGCTGCTGGTGAGTGTGCCTAGTGTGTGGTGTGTGATTGCATGAGTGATTGCATGAGTGATTGCATGAGTGATTGCATGAGTGATTGCATGAGTGATTGCATGAGTGATTGCATGAGTGATTGCATGAGTGATTGCACGAGTGATTGCATGAGTGATTGCATGAGTGATTGCATGAGTGATTGCATGAGTGATTGCATGAGTGATTGCATGAGTGATTGCATGAGTGATTGCATGAGTGATTGCATGAGTGATTGCATGAGTGATTGCATGAGTGATTGCATGAGTGATTGCATGAGTGATTGCATGAGTGATTGCATGAGTGATTGCATGAGTGATTGCATGAGTGATTGCATGAGTGATTGCATGAGTGATTGCATGAGTGATTGTATGAGTGATTGCATGAGTGATTGTGAATTCTCAAAATCCAGCGATGAACAGGGCTGCGCTGCTGGAGCATGTGATATGTGCGATTGTAGGAGTGCGATTGTAGGAGTGCGATTGTAAGAATGTGATAGTATGGTGTGTGACTGTATGTGTGTGGTCGAGCTAGCTGGCGTCAGCCGCTGACCTTGCACAATCCAGCTATAACCAGGGCTGCGCTTCTGGTGAGAAAGAGGGCTTGTGGGTGTGACTGTATGCTGTTTGACTGTATGAGGAGGACCTTGTTCCGCACTATTAAAACCCTGTTTCTCTTCCAACCCCTTTCCTCCGAACCCCCCCCCCCATCCCTTTCTCCTGTCCCCTTGTAAACAGCCTTCAGAGGAACGAAGCAGTCGTGGAAGTGTACCTTCCCCGAGTACAACCTGAATTTTGTCAGCACGCCTACATTCATCCTCAATAGTAACATCGACTACAAGGCTATAGCGATGACTCTTGTCGGGACGAGTAAACCCGTTACGCACCCGCTCATGCACTGCTACTATTCGGCGGGATTAAACGATTGCACTCCGGAACAACGAAGCGAAATCGGCAGTTATGCAACTCGGGTTATGACTACAGTGCGAGGTGTGGTGGACAATGCTAAGCGACGAGGAGCTGCATTTACTTCGTTTGTTTATCAAACAAAATCGCATTGTATGTTGGGGGATCCTGGATGGCAAAGTGTAGTTTCGCCCCAGTGGCCTGGCAAGAACCTGCCTTGGGCTATTAGCGAGTGGTACTATGGTGCAGCTGTTGCTGCGCGCCTGCACAGGCGTTGATAGTAAGGTGTAGTGTTTTCAACAAGCTGTTTTGTCTGATTTGTGATAGTATTTGTATTATATATTGTTATTGTTTTGCGTCTCTGGGCATTTCACCTTGAGCAGTGAATTTGTTGGTTAAGTCAAGAGTCAGTTCACACAGGCACACACATGCAATCACACCACACGCGTACCCATGCATGCACTTGTCAAAATGTTCTAGTGCTTACATTGTGTAGGCTGTAGTGGGGTAGCCTATAAGGGGTACAACCCAATTAGGGTTAGTACTTGTACCCTACTCATTCATAGTTCATTCATTCCTCGTTCGTTAGTTTGACATGGTTTCAGAGCAGGTCCTTCCCTAGGACCGATTTTTTTTTTAGGGCCCACCACAAAGCTGCCGCCCTGCCCTAACGGCACGCCGCCCTTAGCGGCCCACGCGCCGCCCTTTGCAGCCCGTCGCGTCGCCCTTAGCAGCCCGCGAGCCCCCCCTGCAGCCAGCGTGCCGCCCCTGCAGCCCGCTCGCTGCCCCTGCAGCCCGCTCGCCGCCCGCTTGCGGCCCGCTCGCCGCCCCTGCAGCCCGCTCGCCGCTCACTTGCGGCCCGCTCGCCCACCCTGCAACCCGCTCGCCGCTCGCTTGCGGCCCGCTCGCCGCCCCTTGCAGCCTGCGAGCCGCCCTCTGGCAGCCTGCTCGCCGCCCCTTGCAGCCCGCTCGCCGCCCCTTGCAGCCAGCGCGCCGCCCCTTTGCAGCCCGCTCGCCGCCCCTTGCGGCCCACTCGCCGCCCCTTGCAGCCCGCGCGCCGCCCGCTGGCAGCCCGCTTGCTGCCCCTATGCAGCCAGCTTGCCGCCCTCTGGCAGCCCGCTCGCCGTCCCTTTGCAGCCCTCGCACCGCCCTCTGGCAACCCGCTCGCCGCCCTTTTGCAGCCCGCCCGCCCCCCCCTTGTAGCCGGCGTGCCGGCCCGGCTGCTGCCCGCTCTGCTGCTTGCGCCGTCCGGCTACTGCCCGCCCTACTGCTGCCCGCCCTGCTCTGCACCGCCCTGCTAGCCGCCCTAGCCGTGTGCCGCCATGCCCTGCCCTGCGCGCTTCCCTAGTGCTCGCGCGCCGCCCTGCCTGCGTGCTACTCTGCTGGTAGCGCGCCACCCTGCTCCGACCGCTATGGCCAGCACAAGTCTGCTAAAGCACTGTACGACGCTGTAGTCGCTCGTTACTCCTCCCCTGCCACTGCTGCTCTAGACCGCCATATACTGCCCTACCTGTTTCCCGAGCTGTCCGCCTTTGCCACACTCGATGACCTTGTTATCCACCTCCGCACTAGCGACGCTCGCTACCGCGCTGCCCTCCCAGCATATTTCCTTGACAGGAACCCGCCCTCGATGTACATCACTCTCTAATTCAAAGTCACCCGCCTCCCTGACTCTCTTCGCGCTGTCAGGGACCACTTTCTCGCACTTGACCCCACAGACCTTACTGTCTACCTGCTCGAGCAGCACCTCCTTGCAGCTGAGACTAACGTAGTCGTTGTAGGTGCTGCTTGTGGCACTCCTCGCACACCCTTCTTTGAGGGGTGTCCCCCCTCCCCCCTTGCCCCCTCCTACGCCTCTACTGTTGCAATTGACATCCTTGGTGCTGCGGATGTCGGGGCTGCTTCTGCTGTTAGTGGGAAGCACCGCAGGAGCAAGGGCAAGGGTGGCAGGAGTGGTGACGGTGGCAGCGGGGGTGGTGGTGGGGGCAGCAGTGGAGGTGGTGGAGGTAGCGGAGGTGGTGGCAGTGGTGGGAGTGGTGGCGGGAGTAGGGGCTTTGGTGGCGGCGGTGGTGGCAGTGGTGGGGGTGGCGGTAGTGGCAGTAGTGGGAGTGGTGGCGGTCGGGGTGGAGCTGTTCCGAGGGGAGGTTCTGGCGGTGGCCAGAGGCAGCAGCAGCAGCAAGACCCCTTCTCCCCAGCAGCTTCGTGAGTGGTTTGCTCAGCGTGGGGCGTCTAGGGGTAGTGTTAGCTGCCCGTATGTCATTCGCACGGGTGACCGTGCTGGTCAGACATGAGGGAAGCCTCACACTTAGCACCGCTGCTTCTCCCGCCTAGACGACGCTTAGCGCGCAGAGTTTGGTGACGAGGTTGAGCGCCCCCGCTGGGCAGAGCTGCTTAGGTCTGGAGTTGATATCTTTGCTCTTGACTATGATGCTATCCTTGCTGCTATGTATGCCTTGTCTGTTAGTGCTGAGGGTTACTGTTACCTGTGTGTGCCGCCCGACCCAGGTATAGAGGCTGCTGCTCTAGGTGCTAGTGAGTCAGCTCTCCCTGGTATTGCGCTTGCTGAGGCCTTGCACACCTTTACGCTTGACTCAGGTGCTTCCCGCTATTTCTTTCGCGACAGTACACCCTCACTCCTCTCTGCACCTGTACCGGTCAGACTGGCTGACCCCTCAGGGGGCCCAGTTCTTGCCCGTTCTTCCACTGTTCTCTCGTGTCCGGCGGTTCCGTCCGGCTCACTGTCAGGTCTTCACCTCCCCTCGTTCTCTACAAACTTGGTGAGTACCGCTGCCCTCTAGGATGCGATGGTCACTACCACCACTCCTGGGGGTCAGCGTGTGTTGATCTCCACGTGTACACGGACGGGCCGTCACCTGGCCACATTTACCCGTCGGCCTGGTCGAGTCTGTACACACTGACTGCTGAGCCTCCTCAGGTAGTTGCGTCTTCTCAGGAGTCCGCGTCAGGTCCGGTAGCACCCCCCTGCTCGTGTCACCTCCTGTCACACCAGACTCTCCTGTGACACCACCGCCTTGGTCACCCCTCCCTGCCACGCCTTCGTGGCATGCACTCCCGCCTCCTTGTTTCTGGTCTTCCCAGGTCTCTGCCTCCCCTCCCGCCCTCGCGTGCCCCACCCTGCCTTCCTTGCGTTGAGGGGCGGCAGCGCGCCGCTCCTCACTCCTCCTCGTTTCCCCAGACGACTTCTCCCCTGCAGACTCTCCACATGGACGTGTGGGGCCCAGCCTGTGTCAGTGGACAAGGCCGCGGGCGCTACTTCCTGCTGGTTGTTGATGACTACATGCGTTACACCACGGTCTTCCCCTTGTGCAACAAGGGTGAGGTCCCTGATGTCTTGATCCCTTGGATCCGTGCAGTCAGACTCCAGCTCCGCGAGCGGTTCCGTGAGGACCTTCCGGTCCTGCGTCTTCACTCTGACAGAGGTGGTGAGTTCTCCTCCGACCTCTTGCGGGACTTTTGTCGTGGGGAGGGCATCCTCTGGTCGTTCACGCTTCCGGCCTCCCCGCAGAAAAATGTCATTACTGAGCGCCGCATTGGCCTAGTCATGGAGGTCGCTCGTACCTCCATGATCCATGCGGCTGCTCCCCATTTTCTGTGGCCGTTTGCGGTCCGGTACGCTGCGCATCAGCTCAACCTCTGGCCCCATGTCTCCTTGCCGGAGACCTCGCCTACACTGCGTTGGACGGGGAAGGTTGGCGATGCGTCGGTGTTCCGGGTTTGGGGCTCTCGTGCCTTTGTCTGCGGAACTTCCGCGGACAAGCTCTCCTCCCGCGCTATTCCCTGCGTCTTCCTTGGCTTTCCCCCTTACGCGCCTGGCTGGCAGTTTTACCACCCCACCTCGCGCCGTGTCCTCCCCTCTCAAGACGTCACGTTTGACGAGTCGGTTCCCTTTTACCGTCTCTTCCCCTTCCGCACTGCCCCTCTCCCCTCCCCGTCGCTCTTCCTTTCTCTAGGTCCCCCTCCGGTAGACCCCCTCCACCCTCAGGGTCCTGCTCCCTCAGGTGAGTCTCAGGAAGACCCACTTCCCAGGACTGTGCATGTCGAGGTCGATGTAGACTCAGGTGCTGCTAGAGGTGCTGCGT